TATCCGTCATTATAAAATAGATAGTTTTGCTTCTGCTGATGCTGCCTTTGGCCGTCGTGTATTACAGCGGGTAGTTTCATCTCCTCCATCACGTGCCCCGTCTGTTAACCCTCCCTAGGGACAGGCGAGCTTTGGTATGTCCCAATCAAGTGGATTATCCATCCCTCATGCTGGAGAAGGGGCGTTGGTCTTACCTGAATGCCATTTCTCAGCATGATGATGGATAATCCACCCCCGCCCCCTTTTTCTTTCATGGGTTCATGGGCACGGTGATAGGGGTCTGGAGAACAACACGCCTGACTTTGTCTGTTGCTTCGCCTCCGTCGGAACTGGGCATGTGCGGCCAGGCAGGAGGCGTGGCTATCTCAGACTTAGTCTTATTGGGTACAAGGGACTTCAGGAAACCCAATCAAGTGGATTATCCATCATCATGCTGAGAAATGGCATTCAGGTAAGACCAACGCCCCTTTTATGTACTTTTTTGCAGTGGCCATTAAATGAATCACAGCAGTTAAGTGAATCTGGCTTCCCCCTTTGACTTTATTGTCAAGAGAGGGTTAAAAATGACAATTAGGTAACCTCAGGATACTGCAACCATAATAAATGCAAGCTGGTTAAGATCATATGTGTGCGGGGATTTCGTGAGGGCTGAGTCATAAGTCACTTTTTTCAGTGCCATCATAACTTCAGATGGTAGTCAGTTGAAAACTACCTGTTATTGTAAATAGAACAATACAGATGCAGAGGGAAAAAGCTAGATCAAAAATAACCAAACAAGCAAAGATAAATTTTGGAGCCTACTCTGAGAGAGTTGATATGACCTTTCTGCCATCATTGTATCCACCTGAGGTCCAGAAGAGCCACTTGATGTAATTGGAATTTTATCCATATCTGATTTAGAATTCTTACTCATTGCAACATTTCATGGGTAAAATCATTTGCCCCAACTCTAATTCAGCTGCTGTACTTTTTCAATATAAGCATAGGCCTTGGTTCATCCAATTGCTTCTCTCTGGATGCATTTCATTGGGCAAGTTGAAAGAATTGAAGATGTACAGATCTTCTGTGCATATATATTGCTTTTACTGACTATTAGTATTTAGCTAACAAGAAATTATGCAAGTTACCTTGTCTGAGAAGAGAAATCAGTCCAGGCACTTCCAGGCTGGCCATGAAATTATTTCTTCAGTCCTATAACCAAAATCGTAGGTTTTGAGGGGTTCTCAAAATATTCTCACCAATATTCCTTTTTAGGATAAAGCTTTAGAGCTACTTCTCACTGGGAAAATTGTAGTACCTGTTAAGAAGGCTGGGACTTTGACTGCATGGTTGTGGTCGTTCTCGTACTAATATCCCCATTAACTCTTCAGTAACTCCAATACAGGTAGCAATAGCAATAGCACTTAGACTTATATATTGCTTCACAGTGCTTTACAGCCCTCTCTAAGCAGTTTACAGTCAGCATATTAACCCCAACAATCCGGGTCCTCATTTTACTGATCTCAGAAGGATGGAAGGCTGAATCAACTTTGAGCTGGTCAGAATTGAACTGATGGCAGTGAGCAATGAGTTAACCTGCAATGCTGCATTCTAACCTCTGCGCCACCCTTATTTTATAATAAGATAAGAATGAGTAACATCTTTTATGGAAACACAACTCAAAATTAATAAATTCATAACAATTTGGTAGACCTATTGTACCTGCATAGCAACTCCTAGAAGGAATTTCTTCTGTGAAGAAATGCACATTCAAAGAATGACTTGGCAAATAAGAACCCCACAACTGGGACTAGAATTTCCATTGCTAACCATAGTGGTTGTTAAGTGAGTTGTGCCTGATCTTACAACCTTTTTTGCCACAGTTGTTAAATGAATCATACGTTCGTGAAGTGAATCCAGCTTCTCCCATTGACTTTGCTTATTGGAAGTCTGCTGGGAAGGTTGCAGGTGGTGATCAGATGTTCCTGGGATGCTGAAAACATCATAGGTACCAGTGGCCAAGTGCCCAAATTTTGATCATGTGACTGTCAGTATTGTCTTTTTAAATTATTAACATTAACAATATTTGGGAGACATAATGCTACACCAGAATATCTCATCCTCAATAAATTTAAGATGTGCAGACTTCAATTCTCAAGATTCCCCAGCAAGTATGAGGTTTAGAAACATTCTGCTAGACCAAGGGTCCCCAATCCCGGGTCTGTGGACCGATACCGGGCTGCGGCATGCCAGCAACCAGTCCGCACAAACAAAGCCCCATCTGCGAGATGCAGGTAGCACACAAAAACACGCCCCCTCTGGTTTGTGGAAAAATCTCCATGGAATCGTTCCCTGTTGCCCAAAAGGTTGGGGGCCTCTGTGCTAGATTGCCAATAGGCATCATATTCAAGCAGGTGTACTTTTTCTGATTTCTAAATCAGACGGGAGTCAGGTTTGGAAACATTTCCATGGTTTTAAATTTGGTTTATCCAGGGAGAGAGTAAACCTGCAAATGACTTTCTTAAAAAGTCTTT